GAAACTTCGTGGCCCATGCGCAGAAGTCGGTATTTTGTGGAAGAGCCACACTCAAGGGGCCAAAGAGCCGCATGTGGCTCTCGAGCCACGGTTTGCCCAGCCGCAGTTTGCCGACCACTGGGCTAGGGCAATGGTATTCTTAAATATATTATTAAAGTTATCATGACAAAAGGTATTTCTTTAAAAGATATTTATGGAATTCAAAGGAAAGATATTAGGAACCCAGCAAGGAAATTGGAAGTGGATGTTTGAAGGATGGATGGGACTGGCAAGCAGAGACAGGCTAGTTGAGGCAGAAGGAACAGTGCAATCAAGGACACAGAATGAGAACTGGAAGGAGTGTTCTGGGAACACCAAGAAGCCAGTTTGGTTGGAGCACAGGATTCCTGTGGGAGAAGAGTGAGTGAGTCAGTCGGAAAGGTAAGCTAGGGTTATGGTCCTGAATGCTAACCTGAACCTTTAGTAATTTGCTGGCGGGAAAGGACCCCTGGAAATTGAACTGCGTAGGTAAACGTTAAAGTAAATTTTCCTGTCACCTCTTACTTCACGAGGTTCCAAATCCCTGCCCTTCGATCTTAATGGTACTTGGGCATTTGGCTCAGAGCAATGAGGTAGGAGCAATAGTTTTTGCATGCCAGCTGTTTACAGAGTGAGAATTGGCCCTTCTCATGGTTACTGACAGGTTTTATTCAAAAGGCAGCAGTTTCAGAGCAAATTAGCAAAGAGCAAACATGAAGAAGAAATGTGCACCTCAAACCAGTGCTTTGCAAACTTTTTTTCACAGCTTTCTATGAGTTTTGCTTTTTTTTAATGTATATTTTTATTGATTTCAGAGAGGAAGGGAAAAGGGAGAGAGAGATAGAAACATCAATGATGAGAGAGAACAGTTGATCAACTGTCTCCTGCACACCCCCTACTGGGGATCAAACCCGCAACCCGGGCACGTTCCCTTGACCGGAATCGAACCTGGGACCGTTCAGTCCACAGACCAATGCTCTATCCACTGAGCCAAACTGGCTAAGGCTGCTTTTTTTAAAATATATTTTTATTGATTTCACAGAGGAAAGGAGAGGGAGAGAGAGATAGAAACATCAATGATGAGAGAGAATCATTGGTGGGCTTGATCAAGCCCACAACCCGGGCATGTGCTCTGACCGGGAGTTGAACCGTGACCTCCTGGTTCATAGGTAGACACTCAACCACTGAGCCATGCCAGCGGGGTGAGTTATGCTTTTTTAAGAGACCATATGCAAGTGAGATCATACAGTATTTGTCTTTTTCTGCTTGACTTATTTCACTTAGCATAATGCCCTCAAGATCTAACCATGGTGTTTGAAATGGCAGGATTTCCTTTCTTAAAGCTAAATAATATTCTCTGCAAGCTTTTGTGACTGCGCTCCCCCCATAAGAAGAAATACATTCCAATTCTCAACCCAAAATGTATACACACATGTGCCCAGATACACACACCTCTGAAAAAGAAGCTTCCTGAAATATTACCCTTATTTTATGCAATGCATGCTAACGTTTTTTTCTACTTCATCTTTATTTTAAGAGAGCCTTTTTAGGTGTTTTTACTGCTTTATTGAGGTATGCTTGACATACAATAAACCATATATTCTTAAAATGTACATTTTTGTTTCGACTTCTATACACCCATTGCAGGCTAATAGTTTCAACTTTATTATTTTTACTTCTTTTTAAATACTGGTCAGGACCTACTACATTGATTTTATGACCCACTAAAGAACTAGTAGATGATTCCCTTCAATGTTTGCTAGGTCTCATTTAGCCACACAGACTGTGATCTTAAGTTTGCCATGTTTACCTGTTCCAGAAATCAGGACAAGTAAGATTCTCAGGATGTGGTGGGGGAGGGGAGAGAAGGATTGGCAGGAGCAATGTTTGGGTTCCTCTTCCCTTCTCAGTAAATACTTCCTGATATCAGTATTCCAGTATTCCTCAGGAGCCATAGTGTGTGTGTGTGTGTGTGTGTGTGTGTGTGTTTTCTTTGTCTAGCTTGAGATACAGATTGGACTTCGTACAAGGCTAGACTACCGCCTGCAAACCAGAGACAACTCTTTTGTTTGAATGAACAGAATCGCGGACTAAAATCAAAGGGAAAATAATGCGTTTGGATTGTGACAGTACATAGAGACCATCTTATCCACAGGGACAGTAAGTACCATCTTTCTTACAAGTTTGGAACCAATGAAAAGATGAGAATATCAACTTCTATTACCCATAAAGCTGAACTGAAGAATGGGGCTTGGATGATGACCAATAGGCTTTTTCATATCCCCCGAATTAAAAGTAGCTCCCCCAAAACTCCAACCTCCCCCTTGCAGAGGTCTAGCAACTTTAACCATGTCTGATTAGAGAAGACTGCACTCTCTCTCTGAGGACAGGCAGACCCAAATTCTCCAATTACGTAAGTCTTCTGGAAGAACCAAGACAAATTCTCCCCTACCTGCCCTCCTGTGAAAATAAAGGGATTAGTGAATAAGGATTTATCTCTTCCCAAGCAAACAGGATCCAGCCCAAAAAAGGTCAGTTAGGTTAAAAGGTATATTAAAGCAGTGAATTATTTTTAAAATAATTATGTGTATTACATATACACATCTTAACATTTCATATTCACTTAAAACCTATTAGGAAAACCAAGTTGCCAAATTTCCTATGTGAGGCCAAACCTTTTCTTGGAGCAAGAGTGCTGATTAGAGTTCTTGAGCTCTTTCCTACCTGTCATATCCATGATGTATTTTCAATGCTTTCCACGTTGTTTCTTTAAGGTTAACTGAGGACTTAAAGTTTCTTGCAAAGCAATATAAGTAGAGGCTCCTTATTAAAAAAAAAAAAAAAAAGCCCAGCCGGTGTGGCTCAGTGGTTTAGCGTTGACCTGTGAACCAGGAGGTCACAGTTCAATTCCCGGTTCAGGACACATCCCTGGGTTGTGGGCTGTGGGCTCCATCCCCAGTGTGAGGTGTGCAGGAGGCAGCCAATCAATGATTCTCTCTCATCACTGATGTTTCTCTCTCTCTCTCCCTCTCCCTTCCTCTCTGAAATCAATAAAAATATATATTTTAAAATCCTTTGTAATCATCTCACCCACATTTGGTTTGATAGTAATTTTCAGCTGGTCTTTAGCTAATGTTTCCAAAGCAATCAACTGATATTGCACAGAGATTTTATTTTCACGCTTAGGTTTCATCGGTTTATGTAAATTTTAATTAAATTATATTCTGGCATATTAGTTGTCATAAGCAGGTTTGGGATCAAACACAACAAGACTCTTGTTAGGCATGTAACTCAACTTGAGCAACATTGTATAACTTACCATTGAGTACTCAGACAACTGGTAACTTGGAAAACACTTAATTACATATTAAATGAAAAACGATACAAGTCGCTCAACTTTATGAAGAACCACTGAATCCTGCACTTTAAAAGAGTGAATTTTGTGACTTATATCTTAATTTTTTTTTAATGATACAATCTGCCTTTTTGCTTTTGTATCAGCCAAGATCAGCATCAGAGTACTAGTACACAGATGGCTAGCTCAAAATGTGTAGCTGGAGAGTTAATGAGTGGACAGCATACAAAGTTGTAGTCAGGGGTGAGGGATACCAACAAGGGATAGTGAAATACCCCAAAGCTAGCATCTGCTGGAAAGCCATTAGCACCCTAGCCGGTTTGGCTCCATGGTTAGAGCAGTGATGGCGAACCTTTTGAGCTCGGCGTGTCAGCATTTTGAAAAACCCTAACTTAACTCTGGTGCCGTGTCACATATAGAAATTTTTTGATATTTGCAACCATAGGAAAACAAAGATTTATATTTTTGATATTTATTTTATATATTTAAATGCCATTTAACAAAGAAAAATCAACCAAAAAAATGAGTTCGCATGTCACCTCTGACACGCGTGTCATAGGCTCGCCATCACTGGTCTAAACTATATGACATTAAACTGATGGAAGCTGTTAGCAGAGCCCAGCAAGGACCCACGATTCAGAGTCAGAATGATGGACTTGACAATAAGCTAAGTGAGTGGGAGACACTGCCATTCACAGGATGTTCAGTGGTGAAAGGAACAAGAAATCAAGCCCACAGCATCTACTAAATGCAAAAAGATTTACACATGCGCCTTTTAGATAGCAGGCACACGGAACTTCCAATGGCGTGAGGTTCTCAGCAATCTTTGTTTCTCTCACATTGATATTTCTGTCTTTCCCTCTCTCTTCCACTCTCTCTAAAAATCAATGGAAAAATAAATATTTTTTAAATATCCTTTTAAAAAAAGAAGAAGAAGCCATTATCAACCCTAGGCCTGAAGGGGCAAAGAGATGTAACCAGTGCTCAGTGAGAGGAATAGTTGAAGGGGAGGGAGGGCCAACAGCAACTTAGAGGCATACAGCCCTCCTTTCTCTCTCTCTCTCTCTCTCTCTCTCTCTCTCTCTCTCTCTCTCTCTCATCTCCTGTGGTACCTCCCAGTGGCTGAACCCAAGAGGAAGACTAAGGGCACGTGAGCCCAGGTGATGCTGTCCTTCAAGGTCAGCCCTGGAGAAGGTTGGAGAGTGGATCTGGATGAACAAAGGCAGAATTATCCAGCAGTAGGTGATCCTATAACAGTGATGGCGAACCTATGACACGCGTGTCAGAGGTGACACGCGAACTCATTTTTTTGGTTGATTTTTCTTTGTTAAATGGCATTTAAATATATAAAATAAATATCAAAAATATAAGTCTTTGTTTTACTATGGTTGCAAATATCAAAAAATTTCTATATGTGACACGGCACCAGAGTTAAGTTAGGGTTTTTCAAAATGCTGACACGCCGAGCTCAAAAGGTTCGCCATCACTGCCCTATAACAATGTGAGAACTGTCTACTCTAAGCAAGTGACTGGGACCTTAAGGGAACCTGAAAACCAGGGTTTCTAGAGGTACAAAGTGGAGATAGCTAGGGAGCAGGTAGGATAGATAAAAGGGGCAGGAATGATTGTTAACTCAGATCCAGACCAAGATGACAAAGTACTAAGCTGCAGTCTGAGCTCAGGAAGAGATTGTGGGGGATATGTACGAGCTACTTTAGACGGAGCGTTAGCCAACTTCCCCTATTTGGGTATCATCCTGTATTTTTCCTTCCTAGCTTTAACTTCATGCCTTGTACAAGCAATTGTTTAGTACCTATGACATTCCCTGGGGGTTAAGGGGAACAATATGAACATCTCTTTTCCAGCATGGAGTTTACATTC